CTATTTCATTAATTTCTGCTCTGATCTTGATGATTTCTTTCCTTCTCTTTGTGTTTTGTTTGTTCTTCTTTCTCTAGTTCCTTTAGGTGTAAGGTTAGATTGTTTACTTGAGATTTTTCTTGTTTCTTGAGGTAGTCTTCTATTGCTGTAAACTTCCCTCTTAGACCTGCTTTTGCTGCATCCATAGGTTTTGGATTGTCATCTTTTCGTTTTAATTTGTCTCTAGGTATTTTTTGATTTCTTCTTTGATTTCTTCAGTGATCTCTTGGTTATTTAGTAATGTATTGTTTAGCCTCCATGTGTTTGTGTTTTTTACCTTTTTTTCCCTGTAATTGATTTTTAATCTCATAGCATCATGATCGGAAAAGCTGCTTGGTATGATTTCAATTTTCTTAAATTTACTGAGGCTTGAATGTGACCCAAGATGTGATCTATCCTGGAGAATGTTTCGTGCGCACTTGAGAAGAAAGTGTAATCTTCTGTTTTTGGATGGAATGTCCTGTAAATGTCAATTAAATCTATCTGGTCTATTGTGTCATTTAAAGCTTGTGTTTCCTTATTAATTTTCTGTCTGGATGATCTTTTCATTCGTGTAGGTGAGGTGTTAAAGTCCCCCGTTATTATTGTGTACTGTCAATTTCCTCTTTTAGAGCTGTTAGCAGTTGCCGTATGTATTGAGGTGCTCCTATGTTGGGTGCATATATAATTGTTATATCTTCTCTTGGATTGATCCCTTGATCATTATGTAGTGTCCTTCCTTGTCTCTCGTTAACATTCTTTATTTTATTTTTTAAAATATTTATTTATTTATTTTTGGCTGCATTGGGTCTTCATTGCTCTGCATGGGCTTTCTCTAGTTGCGGTGAGCGGGGGCTACTTTTCGTTCTGGTGCACAGGCTTTTCATTGTGGTGGCTTCTCTTGTTGCAGAGCCCAGGCTGTAGGTGTGCAGGCTTCAGTAGTTGTGGCACTCAGGCTTCAGTAGTTGTGGCTCACGGGCTGTAGAGTGCAGGCTCAGTAGTTGTGGCACTCGGGCTTAGTTGCTCTGTGGCATGTGGGATCTTCCTGGACTAGGGCTCAAACCCATGTCCCCTGCACTGGTAGGCAGATTATTAACCACTGTGCTACCAGGGAAGCCCTATTCTTTATTTTAAAGTCTATTTTATCTGACATGAGTATTGCTACTCCAGCTTTCTTTTGATTTCCATTTGCATGGCATACCCTTTTCCATCCCCTCACTTTCAGTCTGTATATGTCCCTAGGTCTGAAGTGGGTCTCTTGTAGACAGCATATATATGGGTCTTGTTTTTGTATCCATTCAGCAAGCCTGTGTCTTTTGGTTGGAGCATTTAATCCATTCATGTTTAAGGTAATTATCGATATGTATGTTCCTATTACCATTTTCTTAATTGTTATGGGTTTGTTTTTGTAGGTCCTTTTCTTCTCCTGTGTTTCCCACTTAGAGACGTTCCTTTAGCATGTTTTGTACAGCTGGTTTGGTGGTGCTGAATTCTCTTAGCTTTTGCTTGTCTGTAAAGCTTTTGATTTCTCCGTCTAATTTGAATGAGATCCTTGCTGGGTAGAGCAATCTTGGTTGTAGGTTCTTCCCTTTCATCAAATATATCATGCCACTGTCTTCTGGCTTGTAGAATTTCTGCTGAGAAATCGGCTGTTAACCTTATGGGAGTTCCCTTGTATGTTGTCATTTTTCCCTTGTTGCTTTCATTAATTTTTCTGTCTTTAATTTTTGTCAGTTTGATTATTATGTGTCTCAGCTTGTTTCTCCTTGGGTTTATCCTGCCTGGGACTCTCTGCACTTCCTGGACTTGGGTGGCTATTTCCTTTCCTATGTTAGGGAAGTTTTCAACTATAATCTCTTCAAATATTTTCTCGGGTCCTTCCTTTCCTCTCCTGGGACCCCTATAATGCAGATGTTGTTGCATTTAATGTCGTCCCAGAGGTCTCTTAGGCTGTCTTCATTTCTTTTCATTCTTTTTTCTTTATTCTGTTCCACAGCAGTGAATTCCACTATTCTATCTTCCAGGTCACTTATCCGTTCTTCTGCCTCAGTTATTCTGCTATTGATTCCTTCTAGTGTATTTTTCATTTCAGTTATTATATTGTTCACCTGTTTGTTCTTTATTCTAAATGTTTGTTATTTAATTCTTCTAGGTCTTTGTTAAACATTTCTTGCATCTTCTCAATCTTTACCTCCATTCTTTTTCCAAGGTCCTGGATCATCTTCACTATCATTATTCTGAATTCTTTTTCTGGAAAGTTTCCTATCTCCACTTCATTTACTTGTTTTTCTGGGGGTTTATCTTGTTCCTTCATCTGGTACAAAGTCCTCTGCCTTTTCATTTTGTCTTTCTGTGAATGTGGGTTTCCTTCCACAGGCTGCAGAATTGTAGTTCTTGCTTTTGCTGTCTGCCCTCTGGTGGATGAGGCCATCCGTGTAGTTCAATTTTCAAAAGGCATTCTTTGTTTTATACCACTACTACTGATTTATATTTATCTACAGTTATCTTTCTGTAGCTTATTACTTACTGTATTTCTATATTTCTATCTCTTAATCAATATTGCCAAAGGTTTTAGCAGTCTTTTCAAAAAGCCAGGCTTTTTCCTTTGTTAATGTAATTTTTTGTCATTATTTTCTGCAGTAGCTCCTTCCTATATTTTGTTATTTAAAGCATTCCTAAGCTGATAATTTAGCTCATTGTTTTAAGCTTCTCCTTTTTTGTTATCCGCTCAGTAACATTTTCAGTGCATCCTATAAATATCGATATGCAGCATTTACATTTTGTTTTAGTTCTGAGCATTAGTAAATTTCCACATGATCTCTCCTTTGATGCAAGAGTTCTTTACATTGGGCTTCCCTGGTGGTGCAATGGTTTAAGAATCTGCCTGCCAATGCAGGGGACATGGGTTTGAGCCCTGGCCTGGGAAGATCCCACATGGTGCAGAGCAACTAATCTTGTGTGCCACAACTACTGAGCGTGTGCTCTAGAGCCCACAAGCCATAACTACTGAACCCCACGCACCTAGAAACTGTGCTCCACAACAAGAGAAGCCACCACAATGAGAAGCCCGCACACAGCAACAAAGACCCAATGTAGCCAAAAATTAATTAAAATGAAAAGTTATTTATATGGACATTTAAAAAAATAAATTTATTTATTTATTGCTGCATTGGTTCTTTGTTGCTGCACGCGGGCTTTCTCTAGTTGTGGCGAGCGGGGGGCTACTCCCCGTTGTGATGTGTGGGCTTCCCACTGCGGTGGCCACCCTTGTTGTGGAGCACAGGCTCCAGGCACGTGGGCTTCAGTAATTGTGGCACATGGGCTGAGTAGTTGTGGCACATGGGCTTAGCCGCTCCGCGGCATGTGGGATCTTCCCGGACCAGGGCTCGAGCCCGTGTCCCCTGCATTGGCAGGCAGATTCTTAACCACTGCGCCACCAGGGAAGTCCCTATATGGACATTTTAAAGTCTCCAAACATATAACTTAAACTTTTTGTTGTGGATTTTCCAATAAAAAATATTGTGGTCAGAGAACTTAATCTATATAATACTCACTTGGTATTTAAAACTTTATTACAGTATATACTAGCAATTATTTTGTTTTACATCCATTTCAGAATATGTATTCTATTACTGTGAAGCATGAATCTTTATTGCCCACAAGTTATTAAATTATGTTGTGTACATTTGTATCCTGAATTCACTAGATTCTGCTCTAGAGTTTGAGCCCTCAGTTCCAGATAATAAAAATATATTTTGCCTTTATTTCCTTCCATTTACTTCTCTTGGGACTCTGCAGTGGAGAAGAGGCTGGATATTACTTGGTTATTCCTAAACTAGTGGCCAAATGGTCTTAATATTATCATTTTAATTTCTTAACTTTGTTAGCAAATCACTTCATTTCCAACAATCTAGTAATTTTTTAAGTTGTCAATTCATTTAGACTATATCTTCCTCCAAATAATCTTTTAAAATCTTGCCTTTTTCTTCCTCTGAAACTTTTTTTTAGTAAGGTGTTAGGGAACGCCAGGATTCATCTGTTCACAGAATTCTGAACGACCCCTCAGGAATGGTAGGGCATCCAGGGCTCCAGCATCCTGTGTTCAGCTGTACTGCTTCTTGCTTGTGCCAGGCTCTCGTACTGGCCCTGCTGCTACAAACCATGGTTTTGCTCGTGTTTAGATTCAGGAGACAGCATATTCCTTCAGGAACCTCAGAAAATACAGTCATTTACAAGAGACCAGAGATTTAGTGTCAGCATATGAAACTTTGCAGGAGGATCAGCAATAAAAGAACTATTTTTCAACACACTGCACTGTCTCTCAAACTTTCCTTTATGTATAATTCTCTTGACAGATTTTCACCTATTGCAATAATGCAGACAAATCAGTGAATTAAATGTAATTTGTTGTTACCTCCAGAATTTTATCAACTTCCATAAATGTTATAACCCAGGGGAAATTATTTTTTGATGCTGTGCCGTTTCACCCAGGACAAACTGTGCTTAAACCTTAGATCAGTGGCTCAGAAATGTCTGTATGTTAGGAGAGTCTCTTCGGCAAACTCCAGACTCGGCTCTTACCTCAATTCCACCTATGGCTCTGCTAACCATGCCAAGCCTTCTCTATCCTCATGGAAAACTATCATGTCCTCCCAGATTTTTCTGTATGGATGATCTTTAGAAGTCTCAGGAACCTGAGGCTCTGGAGAGTGAATGGGTTAAATGGAAAGCCCTAGAAACCAGGGAACTTGGCTGCCCGTGTTACTTTCTAAAATTTCATGTGTGCATACTTCCAGAAGGACAATGGAGGACTGGAGTTAAAACCAAACCGGTCAGCTGGAACATCATTACTGACCAGAACGAGAATCCCCTTGTTGAGCCGTTAAGCTTCGGCTTTGTCATCCCACCCGCATTCCTCTGGTGAACGCTGGCACACAACAGGTCGAGAAACAGAGCAGAAGAAACCAGCACAGAAGGCAGTCTCCCTTTTCATGCTTTAATCCCATACCCCGTGCTCCACTTTTGGAGGATGGTCTCCCCAGTCCTTGCCGCTCCCACACAATCAGAGCAGGTGAGGTTCATAATTATTCAGCCTCACCTCCATGGAACCTTTACCAGGCAACAGAGATCCTTGGGCCATGAGAGTCTACTCCTTAGTCCTTAATTACATGAGAATGAAATCACGTAAGAAAAAGCAAACAACGCAAATACATGAAAGCCTTTACTCCTGGTAAATTCTTCAGGGTCCCAGGTTTCCCTGACATCAGAGAATGAGGCAGGGCGGATGGGGTGGGGTGTCAGGAGAACAGTCTGGATGGCCTTGGCCAGCAGCAACAGCTTTTGCTTAGTTTCCACAATTGGAGCTCAGATCTTCTCCAGCTCTCTTCATGTAAGTGAAGTGACCCCATCAATCAGGATTCTACAATCATGACAGTGCCTTTGTAAGCTGACACCACTTCCAAATCCCCTCACAAACTCATGGGAAGAGGGTCGGGTGGGTGGGCGTGTATATATGTGGAAATGTAAATGACTTCAACGTGGTTTCAATTAGGTGTTACTGAATCCCTCAGCACCCAAATGCTACATCTCACAGATGTAGCACTAGGGACAAAACCGAGAGCCTGGCAGAACAGTAGGGGGGCTGGGCAGGGGCATTCTAACAGGAAAAAACCCACAAGGAAAGAGGCTTCTGACTAGGCCCCCCTTTCAAGCTGCGTCTGGCACCTGGTGTCATTTTGACAATGGGGAAGGGAGCAGCCTGACAAGGTCCACACGAAGCCGCCTCGATGTTTTTGCCCGTCAACCACTACTCGCATCTCTCCCGAGAATCAAAGGAAAGTGCATGGTGAAGCAGTGTATCAGTGAGAGAGTTGTACAGTTAACCTGTGAAAGTGCGGCAGAGCCATCAGGATGCGGGTCTCCTGCCTTGAGTTCAGGGCTGTGTGCTTTAAGATTTGAGCCCAGGAAGGACAGAATCCTAAAGGCTGGTCCCTTACCAAACCTAAGGACCTGTCCTGGGCCACTTTAAACTTGAGGGCGTTAGGCGTCTTTAGGATAGTTAACAGCTTATTTGGGGGCAAATATAGTAAACACAACCTCTTAAGTCTTCTAATTCTCCTACTTCACACCTGTGAGGTCGAGGCAGGAGCACTCCAGTCACGGAGAGGCCTCAATTCAGGCGAACTTTGGAAAGTAGAACATAGTTGAGAGGTTCTGCCCGGGTGGGGTGGGGGTGGGGTGATCTAGTTGTGGGAAGAGGTTACTAACGCACATCTGGGCAGGTGAGGGAGACTCCCTAGAAAAGGTCTTCCCAGGCCGACAAGATGGCTTCTCCCAGACCACCCCTGGGAAAGAGTCGAAGGCAGGTGTCCGCACGTGGGGACCAGGCTAGGAGGTCTTTCCTGAGTGGGTCCTCTGGTGCCTGATTAAGTGGTAGCCTCTGCTGAAGCTCTTCCCGCAGGTCGGGCATGTGAACGGCTTCTCACCAGTGTGTGTTCTCTGGTGCCTCACGAGGTGGTCTCTCCGACCGAAGCTCTTCCCACACTCGGGGCAGCGGCAGGGCCTCACTGAGGCGTGTCCCCTCAGGTGCTTGGCGAAGGCGGCACTGTGGTTGAAGCAGCGCCCACACTCGCTGCACAGATAGAGCTCCTCGGCCGCGTGCGTCTTCCGGTGGGCCAGGTACCGCCTGTGGTCACTGAAGTCCTCTCCACACTCTCCACACAAGTAGGGTTTGCCTCCAAGGTGGATTCTTTGGTGTGTTGTGAGCACGGATTTCTGGCTGAAGCTTTTGCCACAAATAGTACAGAAGAAGGGTTTCTCTCCCGTATGTGTCCTCTGGTGCCTGACAAGGTCTGAAGTCCAGCGAAAGTGTTTTCCACAATCGTCACACCTATAGGGTTTCTCAACAGGTGGAGTTCTCTCAACCTGGACCAGAGGGGAGGTCTCATGCAGATTCTTCCGGTTTAGGGGATATTTATAAGGAGCGCTCATCTTGTGGACCTTCTGGTGCCTGGCGAGATGTGAGCTCCGTGTGTAACTTTTCCCACACTCCATACATTTATAGGGTTTCTCTCCTGTGTGAGTTCTCAGGTGTCTAACAAGGTGGGAGTTACAAGTGAAACTTTTACCACATACAGTACAGTCATGATGTCTCCCTAACAGGGGGTGGACAGGCAGAGTTTCCTGAAGATTCGTTAAACTATTAACTTGAGAAATATTTGTGCCAAATCTTCTTTCGTTAAGTCTGCCTGGATCACCCTCAAAGACTATTTCCCAATCTGGAGTCTGGTGAATTTCTGCATCTCCCAAGATAGACCTGTGTAGATCCTCCAAACTCAGATCTGCTTGCTCAGGACACGCCTCATCTTCACTCCTATCTCCTGTAGAAAGGGAGAGAGGAGAAAAGAGGAAATTGTAGAGGTAATGATGCCTCGCACACAATGGAGAGACTATTTAAACAGTTTTGGGAGGGCAAGACCGTAAAGAGAGAAACCCATGTTTCTTAAGTGTAGAGGTTGGGAAGAAGGAAATAACCAGTCAACTGAATGCCTGTCGTGTGCCAGGCACTTTCTTATACGCTCCCTCACGCTGTCAACAGCCTTCGTCTGGACAAACATTTTTATCCTCCTTTCACAAATATGGAGGTTGGGGATCAAGGGTTTACGTGAATGCTTAAAAAATGGTATAGCTGCAATTCCAAGAGTTCCCCTTTTTTTGTCTGTCACCATTTTGCAGTACAGATCCCTCAAGCCAATGATAGGCGTGAAGAGGTGAAAAGGATAGAAGAATTTGGCTTCAGAGGGAGAGAGTGCTGTCGGCTGACATGTTAGAAGAACCAGTGAGAGGGGTTCCCCAGAGGGACTGCCAGCTCGGGGGACAGATTCCCTTTGTCACTCCTCACCTGTGTAGGTGAAGCTCAGGATTTCTGGCTCTTGAGGCTCCTGCGCCTCTGGGATCTCTGGGATCAAAGGCTCTTCTTCTCCCATGTGGGAGATCTCGTCTAGTCTGGGGATTGGAAACGCTGCTCAAGAGAGGGAAAACAGGACATCACGATTGGTTCAACTGTTCCCCATGTCAAGAGCAGATCTTTTCTGTTTGGCAGATTGCAGAACAATCACATAGGCAGGTCAGTCCATCAAACCTTCAGTCTCTTTAGCTTGAGCACCTCTGACGAGTACTGCCTATCTCTTGCCTTTCACCAGCAACTCAATAATCACACAGCCGTCAATGTTACCCTCTTTTCCCAGATTCAAGTAAGTAGATCGTCTCCAATCTTTATTGCTTGTTTCATAACTTATATGCTTACCTACTCACACTAAACTTAAACTCATACTAAAACTATAGTATTACAGCTGTTTTCTTATTAGAGGTTTCCAACTACTTTCTAGAAATTTTCTCCTCCCTCTAACTTCGAAGGACACCATCTTCCTCGGCTGTCCTTCAGTGTCACTGGTGGGGTCGGCATAAGAGAAGTGTAGTACGTACAATCTAAGGTCTAAGACACCCTCAATTTCCAACAAGAAAAAGATCTCTGTGCTCAGGACACTCTAGAAACACTTGAAATTCCTTACACAAGGAGACCACAATTCCGCAGTCTTCTTCCAAGACATATTCCCCATAGAACTCTTTCTGTGTTGGATCCAGATCACTCCACTGGTCCTGGGAGAAGCATACAGCCACATCCTTGAAAGTTACCAATCCCTGAAACAACACAAAAATTCTACTAAAATGGCATGCTTTATGGAGCCTCATATTTTGTTCCTGGAATAAAGGTCATTGGTACAGGCAGAATCCATCCAGGAGACAAAGAAGCTCAAATGCGACACTCGGTTCCCTTTCAGGACATCTGAGTTTCATCCTGTCGCTGCTTCCCAAGTTTCTGCTTTTGCAACTGGCCCGCTTCCTGCTCCCTCCAATCCCACTACTTTCCCTCAGCACTAGCCTATGTTCTTCTTTCTGAGGATATTGTTTAAAATACAAGAAAGGTCTTAGAAGTCACCATTCAACTCCCTATTTTACACTTTAGTGCTACCTGCATTTCTGCAAAAATTCATCTTTTCCAGGAAGCTTTCCCTAACTGACCTTACCTAATCACACATCACTTACATAGTCTATACAGCATAAACAGGACTTTCTTCTTCAGCTAGACTACAATCTAAAAATAAGGATGGGGGGCTTCCCTGGTGGCGCAGTGGTTAAGAATCCGCCAGCCAATGCAGGGGACACGGGTTTGAGCCCCGGTCCAGGAAGATCCCACCTGCCACAGAGCAACTAAGCCCGTGCGCCACAATTACTAAGCCTGCACTCTAGAGCCCGCGAGCCACAACTACTGAAGCCCACGAGCCACAACTACTGAAGCCCGCGTGCCTAGAGCCCGTGCTCCACAACAAGAGAAGCCACCGCAATGAGAAGGCCCCGCACAGCAACGGAAGAGTAGCCCCCGCTCGCCGCAACTAGAGAAAGCCCACATGCAGCAACGAAGACCCAATGCAGCCAAAAAGAAATAAATTTATTTAAAAAAATAAATAAATAAGGATGGGGACTTCCCTAGCGGTCCAGTGGTTAAGACTCCACACTCCCAATGTAGGGGGTACGGGTTCGATCCCTGGTCAGGGAACTAAGGTCCCGCATGCCACGCAGCGCGGCCAAAATAAATAAATAAATAAATCAAATAAAAACAAGGATGAATTCTATTCCTTTTTTTCTCCAGCCACATAGCTTAGTTGTGGGGCTCTTGACCATGGTGAAGTCTTCATGAATGCCATGGCCTGACTGAATGCAGTCCCTGGAAGAGGATAGCACCCAAAATCAGAAATCGTTTTTGCAGGACAGTCAGTTATCCTTACAAATGACGATCAAGTTTATTCCTTAAAACCAAAAACAAACCCTCACTTGACAACTTCAAAGTTGTACTGGGGTGTTACCAAATAATCCCACTTTGTTAGTCCCTCTGCTTGGTGGCAAATCAAAAGGCTCTGGAGCCTGTAGATCCGACTGAGATGTTATAACTGATCTCATTAGCTGCAGTTCCTCCCCTTCCAGACACATGCAGAACTGAGAACTTAAACTGGTAAAGGAGAGTGGAAACTTGTGTCCCGTCTGACCTGTTCAGTGTATATGCCCAACGGTTCCTCAAATTCTCCATGGTATAGACAGAAACTAGGGTGCACCTGTGATAGAGCAGTAAGAAGGGCAACCATCTCTGGGTTTCCAGGGTTCCTCTCTTCAGGAATGGCTGGGTCCTGGGGCACTGGAACCTCTAAGAAGAAAAGAAGGCAGAGATCAGCAGTGTGCAGGGCAGCCCTAAAACTGGCAAAGAGCTGAGCATCCCCCATGGTCTCTGGTGGGAAGGTGGGAGTCAAGACACAGGCCTAAGGGCGGCTTGAGTCATCCCAACGCCACCACCTGTAACACTACGGGAATGCCAGGAGAATAACCAACAAAAGTGCTATCCAAGGTAGCCCTGCTTACGGGTACTCTAGCTAGTACTGCCTCCTCTCAACACCCTGTACTCTGTGGTTTCCTCCCCTTATGATCTAGCCAGCCTCCTCGGTATGGGAGCAATATCCCCCTCCCCTCACTCTGCCACGATCCCCCCTTCCTGCTGAGGCTCCCACCGCTCTCCTGCAGGGGCTGGAACTCCAACTCCTGGCACAGGCTCTGCTCTTCTGGTGCCCCCAGATCTGGGCTCTGTGTGGTCTCCTCATGGGACTCCTCGGGGGTCAAGGTCTGTGCAGGATCCTGAAGCTCACTAGGTGACTCGGGCTCTGCTCCTGGATGCACTGTCTCCTCGGACAGGACTTCCTGGCCGTGAACATGGACAGTCACCTGGGAATAATTCCAACTTCCAGTCACCATGGAGTCAGGAGGAAAGTCTTGGTTGTCATCAGGGCTTATGTTAGGAGAAGCTGCCAACAGGAAAACTCCCAGAGGGACCCAGACGAGGAGGGGAAAGTCCAGTCCCACTGGGGCGTGCGAGGAGGAGCCGAGGTTATCCTCGCCAGGACATGGGGGGACATTCAGATACTGCCCTGCTTTCTCATTTCCCTCAACCCTGCCTGTCACCAGGGCTATGAGGTCCCATCCTTCCCATCTTCTCCTACCCCACCTGCGGCTCGCCTTGCTGTGTGCTTCCCTGTCTGTCGTCCTGAAAGGGGGATCTGTCACTGAGGGGCTGAGAACCTCTGAGGAAGTCACGGAATTCTCCTCCCCAGGAAATGGAGGTTCAACATCCGAAGGGAAAACCAAAGCCGTATCACCTTGTGTGCTGAGGCCACAAAGATGGTCCCTAGGCAGGTGTTTCAAGAACCAGGAAGTCACACTCATACACACACAAACACACACACACTCCTCTGTCCCATGGAGCTTATGGATCTAGGTACAACCCAAGGGCAGAGCCAATTCAATTTATGGGGTAATTTACGTAAGCCCTACCCCTAAATCCATGCTCCCAGCAAATAGACCCCCTCCACATCACACAGATCAGGACTCCCCCTCCTCACCCACCGCCTTGGTCTCCTGGGTTGTTTCTGCAAACCCTCCACCAGCGTCACGGCCTCCTCGCCACTCTCTGGCCGCTGGCCCCGCACCCAGCTCTGCAGTTCTCCGGGCAGGACAGTAAGGAATTGTTCCAGCACAAGCAGCTCTAGGATCTGCTCCTTTGTCCTCCTCTCTGGCCTCAGCCACTGATGACACAGTTCTCGGAGTCGGATGAGAGCTTCCCGAGGGCTTGCTGCTTCCTGGTAGCGAAAGCGCCGGAAGTTCTGGTGCGACGTCTCAAGCACAGGGTCATCCCTCTGTAAGACAGACTCTGGCCTACAGGTGAAATCATCTTCCAATTTCACCATGAGAATCCCCTCTTCTTCCCAAAGATCCTGGTCCTCCGGTTCCAAGGCTGTAGCCATTGTCTGGCTCTGGGGTGGTCTCACACCATCGAGAGCTCACACAGTCGTTCCCCCCGTCTCAGCCTGGGCACCTCGAGGAGTTTCTCCCAAAGGACCTGGGTAGAGAAGTAAAGACAGACAACATTATGAGCATGAAAGTATACACAGGAATAACAGTTCTGAGCTCAGTCATAATCCTGTACACATAACACTCCCAAACTTAAATCCTTTCCCCTCATCTCCATAACATATGTTGTAAATAGATCTAGTTGGAATAGGATAAGCTATGCCTGAAGGTATGCTCTCCCACTCCTTTTCCTAGACAAGGTTCACACCCCATAGAAAAACAGAAAAACACTGCATTTCTGCATCATGAAATATGGGAACCTAAAAGGAAAATGGCTAGGAGAAAGGACAGTCATAACTGCCTGCTAAAAATGCGGTACTGACCACGATCTGTTTTACACACACACACGCACACACACACACACGCTGACATATATATTAGGATATATATTCTGAGAAGAGACACATTGACAGGGCTGAATTAGAGAAGGCTTTGTGGAGGTTCATTGCGAACTGAATCACACTCCGTATTAATTTATTCTGTAAACTGGGGACTCTCCGAGATTTGAGAGGATTGTATGCGATAACAGCGAAGAAAGCCACTTATACACAGTGGCTGGCACATAAGCACCCCCAAAAGCGATCCTCCTCCTAAGACATCTTTAACTGGAAGACCTACAGACCCTCAAAACTGAGTGCTCAAAACTAAATTCACGATTCCTACTCCCAAATCCACCCCTCTTCGTGTAATCCTCTTGGCTGAGGTCATCACTTGTTAAGTAAACACTCAACGTTATCATCTTTGGATTCAACTTTGAATCTTACCCATTGCTTACAGCTCACTAAACCAATTGTACCTCTTAAGCCTCTAAATCTGTTTCCTCCTGATTTGGTTTGGGCCCCCATCTCTTGCCTGGACTACTGCCATAACTTCCTAACTGGGATCCCCGCAGTACTCAGCTATGAGCAAAACGCAACAGACTCAGCTGTGGAGCTTTTGTAAAACACAGCATCACACATCATTCTTCTGGATATTCTGAGTCAAGTCAACCTAGGGAACTGTATGTTTAGAAATGCTACGTGTGGTTCTGATGTGCATCCTAGCTGAGAAACACTTAGTGCATGTAAGGTTAAGAGAGAGTCCTGGAGTCAGATTGCCAGGCTTTGAATCCTGGCTCTATTGTTTACTAGATATGGGGTCATGGTCAAGTTCTTATTCTCCTTATGCCTGTTTCCCCTTTACAGAATGGAGGTAAGGATGGAATCCATCTAATAGGGTTACTATGAGGAATACCTGTGAAGTGCCTAAAAGTGATGGTGCCCCAATGTTAACCATTATCTTTCTGAATAATAGTTCCAACTGCATCACTCAACATTTAAAAATAATTTCATACTGTTAGTAAGATCAGTTCCAAAATCCTTGGCATGGTACATGAAGCCCTTCACAACCAGCCCTCAATTTATTTTTCAAGCCTCATATCCTCCCCTCTTCTCTGTATCACCTGCTATAATGAATGCATTGCTGACCTCCCTACAATAGGGTGCCTTTCCAGGCCTCCAAGTCTGTAAAAGTCTGTTCCTTTTGTATGGAAAACTCCCACCACCAATGCTTCACGTGTGTTCCTACTTCTTCTAAACAGGTCCCCTCTTCTTCATTCCCAGGATTTACAGTTTCGGTCTTAATCAGTTCTCCTCTGGATTACTGCAATTGCCTCTAAATGTGAGCTATCTGTCTCCAGGTTTGTTACCTTCGTCACCATTCATCATATCACAAGAGTGACTGCTCTTGGCGAACCTGGTCCTGTCCCTTCCTTATTTAAGATCCTCAATCACTCCTGTCTTGGAAGTGAAATACAAACTTCTAAGTATTATGTATTAGGTTGACCTTCATCTTGGGTTTCTTTTTTTTTTTTTTAATATTTATTTTATTTACCTGGCCTCACCAGGTCTTAGTTGCAGCACACAGGATCTTTCAGTTGCAGCATGTGGGATCTAGTTCCCTGACCAGGGATCAAACCCGGGCCCCCTGCATTGGGAGCATGGAGTCTTAACCACTGGACCACCAGGGAAGCCCCTTCATCTTGTTATTCCTTTGCCTTCCTCTCCAATCCTTTCAAACACACACACACATGCACATTGTGTGCATGTAAAGCACACAAAAGGTCTACGCTCTTTGGCTTCTGAACATGCCGTTCCTTCCAACTCTTTACCCTTCATTAGGTTAAACTTATTTATCTTTCAAGACATAGATAGGTAAGGCTTCATGTCTCCTGAGATGCCTTCTTTGATCCCATTCTCCCTGCCCTTAGACCTGGTTAGAAATCACTTTGCTTCCCTAGCTATCTGGACACATCTGTATCTCAAAATCTGCCACATCACACAGTCATCGTTCATCTTTCCCCTGAAACCCCTTGAAGTAGGCGACTGTCCTTCAATCAATTTCCAATACCTATAACAAAGCACACAATAAATGCATCTAAATGAATAAGCCTCCACTTTGAAGCTTTCTTCCTACATTAACAGTAAGAATCAATCTTTTCCTCCATAAGTTTCTACTCTTTTTTATTCACCAAATCTTGTTAATCCTACCTTCTAAATCTTTCAAATTCATGCATCTCATCTCCACTGCCATTCCCTGAGTGAAGCCGTTATGACCCACTAAAAGGCATTGATAGGACCTCTTAAAAAGTGACGATATCCTCGGCCCCTACGACTGCACTGGCACTTACATGTGGAACGAACCACTTGGTTCAGATTTTACCAGTGGACTTCCAGGTGCCACTGCCTCCAGACCACTCTCCACATACAACCTGAGGGTTCTTCATTTTCCAATCTTTTTATGCTTCACTACAACTGCCTCAGGTCCACCTTCAAGGTCAACGATCCACTCTTAACAGCTGTAACATGCTGTCTAACGTGCTGTTGCCCATCAACCACCAAATTATTCATTATTTAAATCTGTATCTCAAATCATTTTTCATTCAAGCTTGTTTCATTTTTCCATTACCCGCAAACATTCACTACATAATCTCATGGTCTACAGTTCTGTAATTTACAGATCTTCCTGGGCTAATTTACCTACTTACTACATCTGCTCTATCTCACGGTGGTTTGTTTTTGCAGGTGGTTTGTAATTTTTTTACGTTTTATGCCCATTTTCTTTGGGAGAGCCCTAGGTTATAAAAGTGAGCCCTTTGAATGAAATTTCCTTTGCTTCCATCCAAGTACTAGTGGTTTCAATATCTCAACTTCTCAGTCTTCCTGAATTATGCCGAGTGTCTCACTTAGGCCTACCTAAGCCTGTGAGTGATTTCTGTCCCACCCAAGGCTATGGAGGCCTACAATTCCTTGCCCTTTTGCTTGATCAGTAGACAGATTTTCACGGAAGGAGTAGCTCTTCAAGGCTCCAGGCTGGCAGATACTCAACTCTATATCCCTCCCCCATCCCCACCAGTGCCCCATTTTCATATCTCCTTGTTGGAGTATAGGTATGAGAACCCCAAACTTTAGAAGTCTTTATTTTGGTTTGAAACCTCCTCGGGCTGTGGTGGAGTTAGACTGTGCTCACTCCTCCAGCTTTTATTTCTGGAACGTAGACATTTACCTTTAGTTTGGGGGCAGGGAGGCAGGTGAGTGCAAGCATTTAAAAATGGGCAAGAGCCATATCCACATCAATACCACCTGCAGTGCTGCGGTAAGGTCTGAGTGGTGACCCTTCTAACATACAAAATCGGCCAATGGCTTCACACTGTCCACAGGGTAAAATCTAAACCCCTTACAATTTGATTCCCAAGGCCCTGCAAGACCTGGCCCCTGCCCACCTCTCTTCTCCAACGACTGCTACTGCATTGAAAGTTGCTGCTCAAATACACTGCTGTATCTCTTTTCTACGCCCTCACTAGGTGTTCCTGATGCTGTCGACTGCCTGAAATACCCTTTCTACCCCTTTTACTTGGTTAACTCTACTCATCCTTCAGATCTGCTTTCCCCAGATGCCTTCCCTGGTCCTCCCAGATTGTTTCCACAGGGACTTGGACCCTGTATCGCAGCACACACATATATCTACTTTTTGTGTGGTAAGAATTGTTCATCCTCCTGTTTAATTCACCAGACCATAAAGCTCCGAGGGCAGGGCCTCACAGCACCCAGCTCAAGGCCTGTCACACAACAGGTTCTCAGGCAGAGACCATGGTAAGTCTTTTAAAGTCTTTCTCTGGAAGGACAGATCCAATATCTTATTAATTCTTATTCACTCATTTGTCCAGCTAACTGTGTGCCAGACAAATGAATAAATAAGGGAAAAAAACACTTCTTATTTGGATTGCGAGTAAAACAGAATACTCTTAGTGGTTCCTGAAGTGAGGAAAATACAACTCATCACAAGGACTCTTCAGGCTGCCTTGGGAGGATCCACATACAAGTCACACAAAGCTGTGCATTTGAAAAAAAAAAAATCATTTTCCTTTGAAGATGTGAATCAACCTTAATATGCACAAAACCGGACATCAAGTAATTTAACACAAATACAACACTGATTATTTATCCAGACAATCCCCCCAACATCTGCAAGGCAGGAAAAGAAGATGGAATTGATACTCAGGGTCTCTGGCTTAATGAAGGGATTTCTATTAACTTAAAAATGGGAGAACTTGCCCAGCGAAGCAGGCTAGGAACTCTCACTGTTTTCACATAGCACAGTCCACGAGATGCCCTACTACAGATTCTCTAAAGTATGCGCTGACAGAGGGTTCCTGCTCTTACAGGGCTTTGCTCCCCAAAGAAAAAAAGAATGTAACAGCATCACATAGAACCTGCTGCTTTAAAGTGCTCTTCAGAAATCACGGATTGAGATTTCCTTCGCTTGTTTTGTATTTACTTTGGCAGCCTCGGAAGATGAGATGGCGACAAAAGGTCAGCAACAGCGGAATGAGGGGCGGCAGAGTCGTCCTTGTTGGGGCAAGAGATGGGAAGGAAGAGAAGGCGGGCAGTGCTGTGAAAAGAGCACCAGATTAGGTATCCAAAGGTGTACGTTCCAGCCCACATCCCCACAAACCTGGAACCGCTCTAAGGGTTTCCTGAGACGAGGTACACAAGAGCCCTTGTAAAGGGTGAAGCCCTCTTCAGACAACAACTCTCCTCTCAGGGTTAGCTGAGACCTATGAGAGCTTGTGAACTAGAGCATGCTGTGCAAATGTCAGGTGTCAGTACTAGAGACAGAAAATGGGCTTTGCATTTTATTCCGCCATTTATGGGATGGGTTACCCTGCAAGTCTGCCTTGCAATTCGTTGCCTTCTAACGCCTTCCCTCAGTGTCTGTCCTTGGAAGGGCTCCACAGTGACAGACAAAAACCCAACAACAGGATACTATAGAGAGACTGTGAGGCCAGGCCAGAGGAAGAGTGAAAGACCTGTTTCCAGAAGGCTCTAAAATAATGTCTGCAGAGACGCTTCACAAGCCTCGGCCTGGGCTGGCCCCACCACCTAGCCTCTTCAGTGTTTCTAGGACGTCTGGGGCAGGACTGCGGAGGAGATGTGGGAAAGGCAAGACCTTTCTCCAGTCTGTGGTCCAGCTGTCTCTGTCCGTATCTGAGTGGGTCCCATGCCAGTTAAGGCCCTAACTCAACCCTAAAGACCAGAAAAGAAAACTGCACGCAGTGAAAAGATACCTGGGTCTCTATCTTAAAATGTTATTCCTACTTGGAGTGATCCTTCTGGACCCTAAATGACAAGGTCTGTAGTCTTATAGCATCTTCCTAAAGGAGAGATGGGATCTACTTACTGGCAAATAATTAATCTTCAGAAGAAAACAGTGATCAGAGAGGTTCAAATGATGATATTCAGCAGACATTTAAATTCTTTCCAGTCTCCCTTCTCCTCTTTGACTCTAACGCGGGCCCAGAGCCTGGAGATTTGAATCAATGATCGCTGGGACTAACCAGACGCTTGCAACTGCTCCTCTCATTGCTCTAGAAAAAATAATCAGCTAATAAAAATTGTTAACTGCCCTTTTCTACTCCTGTAGTGTTCTTTAAAACTAAAGACTATCCACTATGATCCTCCTACTGGAAAGATTCTTTCATTTTACTGTTACTTATCCTTATACAAACGTTTACCCATACTTTCCACATAATGGTTAGGGGCTCTGGAGCCTTAGTCTCGATCCCTCCCCTCACCTATTAGCCAGGTGACACTCCCTAAGCCTCAGTCCAATCTCCAACATGTGGCAAATACTTCCTACCCCATATGGTGGTCTTAAGGATCAATGAAGTAACACATAGAATCGCTCAGCACAGAGTTTGGTATATGGTAGATGCTCTATATATTCTGTTCTTTCCTTCAAATTGCTTTAAATCCTTTTGGGAAGAAGATTTACATGATAATCAAACAGTCCTTTATTTCATCATAATTCAAAACAAAATTTTTTTTAATGCACAGGGAAAATCTTGGTCTGTTTACTGTTACATCAAAAGTAAAGTGTTAAGGGAGTTCCCTGGTGGTCCAGTGGTTAGGATTCGGCGCTTTCACTACTGTGGCCTTGGTTCAATCCCTGGTCGGGGAACTGGGATCCTGCAAGCTGCGTGGTGCAGACCCCCTAAAAAAAAGTAAAGTGTTAAACCAGGAGAGAATTCTTGCTTTGAAAGCACTTATAAGCTAAGATTAAACAAGATCCTTGGAACCAGATGGGATGAAAACTTAAAGATAGGTTTTCCTGCCTAAGACCACAGTAGTGATACTTCTGTTTACCAATATCACAGTCCTGTCCCCTTCCTCTAACTGGGAAGAGGCAACCTGAGGCAAACCCAGTTAGTACAGGCATACCCCATTTCACTGCGATTCACCTTTATCACGCTTCATAGATAATGTGCTTTCTGTTTTGTTTTCTTTTACAGCTTAAAGGTTTGTGGCAACCCTGCAACAAGCAAGTCTATCAGTGCCATTTTTTCAACAGCATTTGCTCACTTGATGTAATCACATTTTGATAATTCTCACAATATTTCAAGCTTAATTATTACTATGTTTGTTATGGTGATCTGTGATTAGTGATCTTTGATGTTACTATTCTAATTGTTTTGGGGTGCCACAAACTGTGCCCATATAAGATGGCAAACTTAATAAATGTGTGCTTTCTGACTGCTCCACTGACCAGATGTTCCTCCGTCTCTCTGCCTCTTCTTGGGCCTCCCTATTCCCTGAGACATAACAATGCTGAAATTAAGACAATTAAAAACCCTACAAGGGCCATAAATGAAAGGAAGAATCGCATGTATCTTGCTGTAAATAAAAAACTAGAAATGATTAAGCTTGGTGAGGAGGGCATGTTGAAAGATGAGACAGGCTGAAAGCTAGGCCTCTTGCCCCAGTTGGACAAGTTGGAATGCAAAGGTAGGTTTCTTGAAGGAAATTAAAAGTGCTACTCCAGTGAATACACAAATGATAAGAAAGTGGGGAAAGTTTTAGTGGTTTAGATAGAAGCTCAAACCAGCCACAACAATCCTTTGAGCCAAAGCCTAATCCACAGCAAAGCCCTAACTCTCTTTAATTCTATGAAGGCTGAGAGAGGTGAAGCAGCTGTAGAAGAAAAGTTTGAAGCTAACAGAGTTTGGTTCATGAGGTTTAAAGAAAGATGCCATCTCTGTAACAAAGTGCAAGATGAAGCAGCAAGCGCTGGTGCGGAAGCTGCAGCAAGTTATCCAGAGCTAGCTAATTAATGAAGGTGGCTAAAATAAACAACAGATGTTCAATGCAGACAAAACAGTCTTCTACTAGAAGAAGATGCCATCTAGAACTTCCATAGCTAGAGAGAAGTCAGTGATTGGCTTCAAAGGACAGGCTGATTCTCTTGTTAGAAGCTAATGCAGCTGGTGACGTTACATTGAAGCCAATGCTATTTACTATTCTGAAAATCCTAGGGCCCTCAAGAATTATGCTAAATCTACTCTGCCTATGCTCTATAAATGGAACAACAAAATCTGGATGACAGCACATCTGTTATAACATGGTTTGCTGAATACTTTAAGCCCACTGATGAGACCTGCTGCTCAGAAAAAAAAAATTTCTTTCAAAATATTACTGCTCATTGAACAATGTACCTTGTCACCCAAGAGCTTTGATGGAGATGTACAATGAGATTAACGTTTTCATGCCTGTTCACACAACAGCCATTCTGTAGCCCATGGATCAAAGAGTAATTTCAACTTTCAAGTCTTATTATTTAAGAACTACATTTGGTAAGGCTAGAGCTGCCATAGACAGTGATTCCTCTGATGGATCTGGGCAAGGTAAATTGAAAACCTTCTGGAAAGGATTCACCATTCTAGATGCCATGAAGAATATTAGTGATTCATGGGAATAGGTCAAAACATCAACATTAACAGGAGTATGGAAGAAGCTGATTCCAACCCTCATGGATGACTTTGAGGGGTTCAAGACTTCAGTGAAGGAAGAAACTGCAGATGTGGTAGAAACAGCAAGAGAACTAGAATAAGAAGTAGAGCCTGAAGATGGGACTGGGTTGCTACAATCTCATGATAAAAACTTCACGGATAAGGAGCTGCTTCTTATGGATGAGCAAAGAAAGTGGTTTCTTGAGACGGAATCTACTGGTGAAGATTGCTGAAATGACAACTGAGGATTTAGACTATTACATAAACTTAGTTGATAAATCAGCAGCAGGGTTGGACAGAACTGACTCAGTTTTGAAAGAAGTTCTACTGTGGGTACAACGCTATTAAACAGCGCTGCGTGCCACGGAGAAACTCTTCATGAAAGGAAGAGTCAACTAATACTGCAAACTTCATTGCTGTCTTATTTTAAGAAATTTCCACAGTCACCCCAACCTTTAGCAACCACCACCCTTCAGTCAGCAGCCATCAACATCAAGGCTAGACCCTCCACCAGCTAAAAGATTATGATTCACTAAAGACTCAGATGAGGGTTTGCATTTTTTAGCAACAAATATTTTTAAATTATATACATCTTATTTTTAAGACACAATGCTATTGCTTAATCAATCGACTCCAGTACAGTGTAAAGAGAACTTTACAGTACAGTGTAAACAGTTTTTTTGAAAACCAAAAAATTCCTGTTTTTATTGTTATATTTCCTTTATCGCAGCAGTCTGGAGCTGAACCCGCAATATCTCCGAGGTCTGCCCATATACCCAAGAGGTCCTCTGAAAACCTAACCCAAAAGGCAGAGGAAATGAAAGGGAATACCTTCACTGACTTTTTGCCTTCTAACACATCATGATCAGTGTGCTTCAAACCATGTTTAAAAACTATTTAAGATATTCTTGCTATTTAAATTTTTTCTTCCTTTGTTAGAGTCAACATAGATTTAGTTAAGATTCTATTCAGTGATTCTTCACTAGATTTGAGTAGCAACGGGAGAAGTAGCTCAAAGGTTATTATAAGGTGTAAAAAAGAGGAAGACAGGAAGAAATAAAAGGAGAGGCCAAATAAGTAGTGGGTGGTACAGGGAGTCAGAGGAGGCTAAGACATAAATATCTTCTGTCACTAAATTTTATAGACTTTGCAGTTAGGATCAAGGTATAAAAATGTAATTGAGAGTAAATATAAACATGAAAAATTTAAATAAAGCTATAAAAATCATAACAATTCACTTTATTTTCAATTAAAACGTTTCCTACAGGTACGTACACAGGCCCAGGAGGCAGTGCTGGATCGCTGTTGATAGTTCTCCCTTCAGAGGTGGATGAGCTGTGTTCCACCTCCTAGAGGTGTGTCATCTGGGACAAGTCACATCAAATCATCTTGAAAATGGGGATGATTTTCTACCTAAAGGCAGAGAGCTGGATCATTTTTTGAGAAACTATCCAGCTTTTTGATGGTAATAGAGGGGCTTTGAGGGGTACAAGGATATGTGGCCTCTTTATTGAGTACCTGGGCCATAATGTATTAGCCTGAAGATGGTGAGAGGAATTTACTCAAGAGTTGAGAAGGGCTAGAGGCCAAATACAGGTTCTGAGACCAGAATTAAATATCCTGCCACCATGATCATATTGGGTAACCTCCAACATGAAACTAGGCTTTTTAAACTTACAGGTTTTTACCCAGGGGTGGTTAATGGCCTGAATAAAGCAGGCCAATCTACATGCCTCAGTTTAAAACAGAATGTCACAAACTAATCTGAAGTAGGAAAAGGGTGCTCACCAAACCTGACACCCACCCTGATGAGGGCAGCAGCTTTTATCTGGAAGCCAGAGTTAAACTAGCCAAATACACTTAATTCATTACAGTGAACACGGTCAATGCCGATCACACAGAGGAAACATTACTTAATGAAAGAAAAAAAAAAAAGGATATTTTATAAATATAGCTTGACCTGAGGTATAAATGTGGATAATTCAGAAGTTAGTTCAAAAGTCATTCACTATGTTTTTAGTTTTTAATTAATATTCTCTGTCAAGATACTCCCTGCTCTGTATCTAGATGACTTCCTTCTGGCTTTGCCCAAGGCTCCCTTGCGTATGATGAGATGAAGGATGGGATCCATGCCTGCTGGACCACAGGAATCTGAGGGGTATCAGGTTTCCACTGCAGAGTAAGTCACGGTCCAAAGTAGATGCCATTCTTGCTCTGGGCCACTGTTTAGTGTCTTTTGTCTCCCACTGTGAGCCCTGTCCCTGAAAGCAAGGACCTCCTTATATATTTTTATATTCCCTGTTCCTAACACTTCGTCAAACACCTGGTTAAAAAGATGCTCGATAAATGTGTGTTGCATTTATTTAAGCTGTTGATTTCTCTTCCCCCAACTTGAATACAGACACTGAAATTCAGAATCAGTGGGTGCCAGGGCTTCTGGGGACAGTTACAGGAATTTGGCATTAGCATTTACTCCAGTCCCCTGAGGGAATCAGGTGGCACAGCCATACACTACTTTACTATGTTACACAGGATTAGTGGAGGAAAACTTCTCCAAGAGAAGAAGGCAGGGGATGGAGTTCATTCATCCAAGAAGTATCTACTGAGCATCAATTGTGTGTCCCACACAAGTCAAGGTGCTGGGCAAAGAAAGATGAAAAAAGCACAGGCCCTGACCTTAAAGAATTTAACATGTAGTTAAAAAATAGCCGGGACTTTGGCATACTAGGAACTCACAGCAAAAGCCTAGAATATGGGTATAAGTGATATCATAAAAATAGAAGCTCCTATCAAGAGAATTAAGAAAATCAAGGGAAAGAACTCACCAGTATTTCAGCTTCAATTCAGCTTAAGAAAATGTAGCACTTCGAGTTTCTTTGAAGTACACTTTCTTAGTTTTACAAATCAAAGAACTCAGACCTAAGTGGTTAAATTACCCACACAAGATCATCGTGCTAGTTTCAAGCACAGAAGTACTCACACACAGGTCTTTTGATGTCCAAACCACTGCAATGTTTGTGTGAAGAAGTCTGGCCAAAGGCAGTGGTTCTCAACGTGGGGAAGCCCAGACCAGCGCACCAGCACCAGAGAACGTGTTACAAATGCAAATGATCAAGCCCCAGCCCTGACCTATAATCAGTAACTCTGGGGGTGGCCCCAGTAATCTGTATTTCACAAGCCCTTCAGGGGTTTAAGATGCTTGGTAAGTCTGAGGACCAGTACCTAAGGCAAAGGAGATAAATCTGAGGTTCGAGCAGAAGGGATCCAACTTTTCTAGTGCTGGCCAAATTCAAAGGAGGAAAGGAGTCTAGGACTGCTATATGTGTTTTACGTCCGTGCCCAATTAGCTGGAAAAAAAATGTTGTACACCTGTAACTTACCTCATCTGCATAGTTTATAATGCCCAAGAGTCCCTCACTTCGTAGTAAACCTTGCTGTGCCCTTGAAATGACTGTCTACTGCAATATGGTATACAGAAAGAGTGCAAAACGGGTACAGCTGGAGGAGAGAGGGGACAAGATTATGAATCCCAGGTGCTTAGTCCTAGGAGAAAAAAATTTCTTTCCTCCCTCCAAGCCTGCCCACCCTCTTAGGCTAGATAGTAATAGCAGAAAGCTACCCAAGACAAATGGCTACAAACCCTAACTGTTCCGCTGTCATACATTTCCCAGCAACAAGCCTCCCATGGCTGTCCCACAACCTTTCTGAAGTGGCTTTCTGGATCAAGGGCCATGGGGCAGCTTGGAAGAGAAGTTGGAGGGATGAGGGACTCCACTAGCTTTCCTTGTGGCTTCTGAGTGAGGCTGCCCTGGGTGTCACCTGCAGAATGTGGACAGAGAGAAAAAGCAACAGTTCTAAGCCTAGCCTCTAAGTAGAGCCTGGATGTGGCCCTGCTCCCCAGGACCAAGGCAGACAGGGTTATCAAGGCGCCTAGAAGACAAGAACATCAAGGCCCAGAAAAATAAAAATCGGGCTGGCACCTTTCTGAAAAACTAACATACAAACTAACAAACTTTTCGCGAAACCAGGTAAGAAGCAGGCCCCATATACTCCCGCTGAGGGTAGCGGTGGTGTTGAGAAAAGTGCCAAAACTGGCTGTTAGGGGTGGGGGAGGGAAGTTGCAAGTGGAGACTGCAGTCATTGGCTTGAGAGGAAGCTCGGGTCCGTCACGGTGCAGCTGAAAAGCCACAGGCCAGGTGGTCTCCAAGGCCTAGCACGATCACGGGCGATAAAATCACGGGCGATAAAATCACGGGTGAGGGTATCTGCGTGTGTTGCGGCGTAGTTAGTGGTGGCAAGTGATGGGGCTCGCCTGGGCAGGGAGCCTTCGGGGGGAATTCTCGAGCCAGCTGAGAGGCGGGGTAAAAAACTGCGGGAAATGAAGGGGCCTCGACCACTCCTCCCACGGTGCCGGGGGGGCCAGTTGGCACGGAAGCAATGGGAGGGCGGTACGAACTAACTGCGTTTCTGCAGGCCTCAAGAGGGGGCGGAGGGCGGTGGCTGCAAAGAAAGAAGCCTGGAGCGCGTTCCACGTACCCGAAGGTTCTTGCTTCGGCCGCCAGGAAACACGGGGACCACTACGCCTCAGTCCCCTCAACATACTGCCGCCAACCCCTTCCACAGGACAGTACGATTTCCCCAGGCTCTAGGGGGGCGGGGTCTCCGACCCCTCCCCCTCCTCCCCTCTCAGCCCCGCTCAGCCTGCTTCGGCCCGGCCCGGCCCGGCCCAGCCCCCAGCACTCACGGCTCCGACAGCTCCGGCGGCTCCTCCCCTGCCCCGGCTTCTCCCCAACCCACTCCCGGCCCTAGCAGCGCCGCCAGATCCGAGCCGCGCGGGGCCTGGCGGGTCGGAACACGTGGGGCCTTTGCGCCCGGAACCGGAAGCTGCCCTTCGCCCCGCCTCTTCGCCGCGCTGGGGCCTTTCTAGGCTCTTGGGAGGTTTGCTTGTTTCTCTGTGCCCCTAGCTCGTGGAGTTGCCGTATTCCCAGGAGAAGCGGGTCGGGGGGGGGGGGCGCTCAGCTTCCGCCCGCTCGCCCCCCCCCTGCATGGGTGGGGGGGCCCTCGATTAACACACGTACCTTCTGCAGGGGTGCTCCGTTCTGTTTTGGGTCTTTGTTTTAATTTTGATGCCTATATCTTGACTTGTTTTTCTTGATTTTTTTTTTCCTTTGCATTGTTGGCGAAGCATGGTAGAAAAGAGCAGTTGTGGGTTTGAATACCGGCTCTTGTAGTCGCCGTCAGTTGTAGGGGTTCCGACAAATTCACACCTGAACCTCAGTGTCCATCTTCTGAAATGGGCGTGGTAATACCGTTACTCTGCAGGCTAAATGGTACATTGCATGTGAACTGATTGGAGCTTAGTAGAAGCTTAGTAAGAGAATAGTTATGGCATCACGGTTCTCCTGTATTTTCCTTGGGCATTTCTTTGTGTTTCTTTACTTTGAGACTATCTTCCCTGATCTCATTTGTTCATTTTTGTGTGGGCAGTGACGTTTCTGCCTGTACCTGCAATTTTCCTTCTGTTCCACTCCCTGAGTCACCACTCTCCATGTGCCATGTCAGGGCCTTCTCTTCCTGAACTATGCCTTACACATTTTATTTTCATGGGACACATTGGTGGGATCTGGTTATTGTGTTTGAACCCAGGGTATTAATCACTTTTGGTGGAGGGAGACGAATTTACAGTTCATGAGAGCCTGCTGTGTGCTAGATGTTTTCTCTTTGTATCTCATTTAATATTTTTAAGTATTAAGTTCATAAGTAATACATACATTTGTTCTTCTAAACGTTTAAAACATTACAGATAAAGCTAATGACTTTTTACTAATCCTGGCTTCCTCATCTCTCTCACCAAAAGTTTCTTCTTATGAACCTGTATTTATCTTCCAGACATTTTTCTGTACTTTTACATACAATACATATATGTATTAATAGAAAATATATAGTATTTTGTGTGTGCATACGTGTATGTGTGTGTTCCTGTTGGAGTCCTCAGTTTGCTGTTTTCTCCTAGCAAAGGGCCTTGGAGATCTGTCCACAGTACGTACAGTTCTCCCTTATTCCTTCTACTTTTCTGCGTAACATTCCACAGTCTGAATAGCCATTCGCTTAGTGATAATATATGTTGTTTACAATTGTTATTATGGACAATGCTATAATAAACATACTCTGCATGCATACATGCAAATGTCACTAGGAGACAAATGCTGAGAAATGTATACACATAATAGCTGTGTATGAGACTATTTCCCCCCATCCGTGCCATTATTTCATGTTGCCAAATTTGTATATCTTGGTCAATCTGTTGGGTAAAAGTGATGTCTTATTGTTTTACTTTACTTTTCCATAATTAATATTGTTAAAAAGAAATAAGCCCAATGGAGAGCCATTTGCCTCCAGTACAGCAAACTAAGACTAAATCGAAGTTTCAACTCTTCCCAGAAATGTGATCTTTAAAATAATCAATCTGAAATTACTTCATCAACACTAGTGAGGTGATCTGTATGATAAAGACCCCTGCAGTTCCCTTACCCCCAAAGAAGATAGCTTGGCCCGAAAGAACGCTTTCTTTTTTCTTTTGCTAATACAGCTGTCCATGTATCTGGGGAGGGGATTGCTTCCAGGACCTCAGTAAATACCAAAATCCATGGAAGCTCAATTCCCTTATATAAAATGGTGTAGTATTTACATAAAATCTATGCATATCTTCCTGTATACTTCAAATCATCTCTAGATTATTTATAACATATAATAAAATGTAAATGCTATGTAAATAGTTTAAAATGCTATGTAAATAGATGCTAGGGCACAGCAAATTCACGTTTTGCTTTTTGGAACTTTATGGAATTTTTTTTCTGAATATTTTCGATCTGCGTTGGTTGAATCCATGGACACAAAACCCACAGATATGGAGGGCCAACTGCACCCTCCTTCTGCCTATAAAAACCTTCCGTTTTGGGCTTCCCTGGTGGCACAGTGGTTAAGAATCTGCCTGGCAATGCAGGGGACACGGGTTCGATCCCAGGTCCAGGAAGATCGCACATGCCGTGGAGCAACTAAGCCCGTGTGCCACAACTACTGAGCCTGTGTGCCACAACGACTGAAGCCTGCGTGCCTAGAGCCCGTGCTCTGCAACAAGAGAAGCCACCGCAATGAGAAGCCTGCGCACCGCAATGAGGAGTGGCCCCACTCTCCACAACCAGAGAAAGGCCAGCGTGCAGCAATGAAGACCCAATGCAGCCAAAAATAAAATAAATAAATTTATTTAAAAAAAAAACAAAAAAAACCCTTCCATTTTGTACAACCCCTCAGACTGCCCTTCTGTTTACTGGATGAGATGCTGCCTGATTCATGAATCATTGAATAAAGCCAATTAGATCTTCAAATTTACTTGGTTGAATTTTGTTTTTTAACAGTAGTGACACTGAACATCCTTTGTATGTTTATTGGTAACCTGTAGTTTTCCTATGAGTTTGCCCATTTTTCTATTGGGTTTTTTGCTCTTTTTCTTTTTTAAAAAATTTACTTATTTATTTATTTTTGGCTGCATTGGGTCTTCGCTGCTGTGCACGGGCTTTCTCTAGTTGTAGTGAGTGGGGCTACTCTTCGTCGTGATGTGCGGGCTTCTCATTGCGGTGGCTTCTCTTGTTGTGGAGCATGGGCTCTAGGCACCCGGGCTTCAGTAGTTGTGGCTTGCGGGCTCAGTAGTTATGGCTTGCGGGGTCTAGAGTGCAGGCTCAGTAGTTGTGGCGCACGGGCTTAGTTGCTCTACGGCATGTGGGATCCTCCCAGACCAGGGCTCGAACCTGTGTCCCCTGCATTGGCAGGCGGATTCTTAACTACTGTGCCACCAGGGAAGTCCTGCTCTTTTTCTTATTGTTAGATGTTCTTTATGTATTCTAGATACTAATCATTTAGTATACATGTTGAAAATATTTTCTTCAACTCTATAGCTTATTTTCTATCTTTGTTTATAGTATTTAAAAAAAATTTTTTTTTTGGCAGCGCCAGGTGGCTTATAGGATCCTAATTCCCCAACCACAGACCAAACCCCAGGCCGTCGGCAGTGAAAGTGTGGAATCCCAACTGTTAGGGGAAACACTGACCAAAACCGCCCGACCTCGCCAGGCAAGATAGTAGCAACTTGCATGAGTTATCTTACCACAGGAGGTCCTGGTAACAAACAGAACTGACAAGCTACCACCAACCGGAAGAATTTGGGAAAGGTTAAAAGGAGAGAGGAGATGCCAGTCCGTATGTCCTACCAACCTCCCAGAATTCTTCTCACTGGAATCCATCTTGGCTGAGCAATGCGCTCACCACCAAGAAGGACCCTGAGTCTGAATGATTGGCCAGAGACAACCTGGAAAGTAGCTCATTCCCATAAAACCTGAGACTGCAAGCCACATGGCAGAGCAGTTCTCCTGGGTTCCCTTACCCTGCTGCTCTCCACCCAGGCGCCCCTTCCCCATAAAGTCTCTTGCTTTGTCAGCACTTGTGTCTCCTCAGACAGTTCATTTCCGAGTATTGGACAAGAGCCCACTCTTGGGCCCTGGCAGGGGTCCCCCTTCCTGAAACACAACCACTGGACTGTCAGGGAATTCCCAGTATCAAAATTTTAAATTGGATACTGTCGACCAAAAAAAAGATTCACAGTCTAAAAGTTGAAAGTTATGTTTATTTGGCGGAAATATTTAGGACTTCAGGCCCAGGAGGCAGCATCTCAAGAAACCCTGAGAGAACTGCTCCAAGGAGGCGAGGTGGGGAGCCAGGGTATATAGGAATTTTGCAGCAAAGGGCAGGTAGTCTGAACTTCAAAAGATTATTGTTAATTAAAGAAAACCACATAGCTCAAGTTAAGGAATTTAGCGCTTTTCTCTGTATGGGAAGAGGCAAGAGTCTGGACTCACTGAAATCATTCCTTTGATGGGTACCTCAGCTATCTGGGGCCAGTATCCCATGTTTTCATATCCTGAGTGTCCTCAGGGCTCACTGCAGGGAGTGGCTGCAGTCTGAGGGCCGCTGGATGGCAGGTATTCATTGTTTCCTGCCTGAGTTCCCTCGGGGCTCACCAGCTCACTGCAGGTGGTGGCTGCAATCCCTGATGACAGTGACATCCTTTGTTTACTGATATGGCAGGAAATATTCCATTTCTCAATACACACTTTCTCTTAGTGGCTTTGAATTTTGTGTCTTATTTAAGAACATCTTTTCTACACAAAAGTCATCAGGGCTTCCTCCTATTTTTTTTTTTCTATTTTTTTGTTCTTTGTACAGTATTTTTGTGGATGGTATAAATTGGGGATTCTAATCTAATATTATCTATGGTAATTAAATTCCTCTTTCAAGACGTGGAGTATGGGATATTTACAGAATAGAACTACAGAGGATATTATCCATGCATGATGTAACGTGTTCTGTCAGTCCCGTTATCTGGTCCCTCATATTGTAACGGCGCACGCAGGACATTATGGAGCCTTGGCCGGGACAGAACCCTTCCCCCAGGTCCTCTGCTTTAGCTCCACTCTGAAGTACCTAGATAACAATATCTGATGCATCGATATTGTTACATTTACTGAGTTGTTTTACAGATGCTAAAACCCCCATTAAATGGAAGAAGTTAGCTACTTGATGACCAAGAGCACATAGCCCCCAGACCTACTGGAATAAGACGATGCTAACCCCCTTAACTAACTTTCCCCTGGAGCTAACTTT